GCTAGTGTTTGATTCAATATTTGCTTTTTTTGCACAGCTATTTTGATTATTACCTAGGTTTACAAAATTTTGTTCTAGGAGAAGAGCTACACAGACCAAGAATTGAATGACTTATCAGAGGTCATCTGATAGCCACCTAAAAGAGAAAATGTAGCTCCTCTAATGTGGATATGATTTAGAGCACACAGCTTGCCACTTGAAATCTTTGAGTTGAAATTGTTGTGCAGAATATTCTTTAAATTGTTTTTCATTTGAAGGTGGGAGGGGAGGGGAAGAATATGAATCTGCAATCTGTTGGTCACTCCCTAAATGCCTGTGACAGCCAGGGCCAGGCCAGGCTGAAGCCAGAAACTCTAGCCAGTCTTCCACATGGATGGCAGGAACCCAAGTATTTGAGCCATCACCTTCTGTTCCCAGATGCATTAACAGGAAGCTGGATCAGAAGTATGGAGCAGCCTGGAATTGAACCAGCATTTCTTTATTTTTATTTTATTTATTGACAGGCAGATTGGACAGTGAGAGAGAGAGAGACAGAGAGAAAGGTCTTCCTTTGCCGTTGGTTCACCCTCCAATGGCCACCACGGCCGGCATGCTGTGGCCGGCGGGCTGCGGCCGGTGCACCACACTCATCTGAAGCCAGGAGCCAGGTGCTTCTCCTGGTCTCCCAAGCGGGTGCAGGGCCCAAGGACTTGGGCCATCCTCCACTGCCTTCCCGGGCCACAGCAGAGAGCTGGCCTGGAAGAGGGGCAACCGGGACAGAATCCGGTGCCCCGACCGGGACTAGAACCCGGTGTGCTGGCGCTGCAAGGCGGAGGATTAGCCTGTTGAGCCATGGCGCCTGCCAAACCAGCATTTCTGCTAGACCTGGAATAGAAGGACTATGTGCAATGTTCATCTCCTCTACTTTTCTTTAAAGCACTGAGGATGAAGCGAGGAGGAGAGAAACTGGGGAAAAGGGAGTAGAAATACCCTTCTTTAACTCTGGGCCATCAGGCATTTATACTTTACTCATGAAACAATTACTGTGGGCTTCCTAAGTGCCAGGCACTGCATTCTTCAAATACACGGATGACCACAACACTGTCTCTGATAATTCCAATTTTCTCCTTCCCCTATATAACATTGTAACCCATTTCTGTTAGAAAACAATCTAGCTCTAGAGAAGCTAGCTCTCTGTTTAAATAAACAAAGGCAATGAATGCTAATATAATGCAACCCAAATGCAAACCATAAAGTGGTACCCTGTTCCAGGCCAGGGAAGCATGGCACTGAGGTGCCCAGCTGCTCATAAATGCAAGAAATAGATTGCCATTAAATTTGGAGAAAAAATATAATCCAGGGTAGTCATAAAACAATAAATAAAGGGCATCTCTTTGTAAACACAAGGGTTACAGATTCAGCCAAGTAAATGAGTGCCTGATTTGCAGTTAACATTTTACAAGCTCAAGTTTACTTTAGAAAAAGGCTACACATCATAAAAACCTTCTAATTTGTTACTGCTCAGAAAGACCACCTGGCATGAACGAGTGAAAAGTTAAAGACACAAAACCCACACAGAACAGATATTTGACTGAATGGTTGACACTGGTTACAATGCCTGAATCCCTTATCAGAGTACCTGGCTTTGAATTCCAGCTCTGCCTCTTGATTCCGATTCCTGCTAATGCAGACAGTGGGAAGCAGTGGAAATGTTTCAAGTAGCTGGGTTCCCACCACCCACATCGGGGACCTGGGTTAAGTTTCTGGCTCCTGGCTTCAGTCGGTTGTGAAAGAATTTGAGTAGTGAGCCAGTGAATGGAATATCTGTCTCTTCTGTCTTTGTCACTCTGTCTCTGACCCTCAAAAAAATGTGCCAATACACAACTGTTTTAAAGGAGTGAATTAGGATGGAGTGCACATAACATTTACTGGAGACCTGGGTTCTAGACACCCTACTATCAGCTCTTTGTTTGCTTTTTTAATCCTCGATGTTCCCCAGAAGTGGATAGTGAGCATGTTTGGAAACTAAGGCTCAGATGTTAAATAACATGTATTATATTCCCTATTCTAGTTCCTTTGGAAAAAAAATCCCTCATTCTCAGAGTCACTGTTTCCCAAAAAGCTTGGTAAACTGGTCTTTAGTTGGTCTTGGCCTGGGAGCTCCTATGAGATAGCCATGTCCTTCAAGACAGTTAGATCTTTGTCCTGAAGGCAAAAACCAATAACAACCCATTTGTAGTTCCCACACACTACATATGTGCCCTAGAAGGACAACATCACTCTCCACAGTAGATGGAAACTATTACTCTAAAATATCTTTTGAACATCAGGTGGAAGAGAAAAGCACTTTCTTCAAGGTTACCCCTACTTCAAGTCTTCACAAACTCCCCTATTTTGTGGTATTGAGGCTTCTAAGAAATCTCTTTCCATTTTCGTGGTGCCTGTTACATAATCCCCATAAGCATATTTGCCAGGAAATCCACAAGCATTTACTATGTATCTACTATGGGTCAGGTACTGTGCTGTCAGCTGCGAATACAAAGTCAAAGTCCTGACCCAAGGGGCTCGAAGTCTAATAAAGGACAGATTAGGTAGAATAAGCTTTCAGACAGATGCAAGTGTGTGTGCGCTAGGGTAGCTCAGTGCAGGAGGCCCCTACAGATTGGGCTGGAAGTGCTGGGAAGGCAGAGGGAAAGAAAGGCCTGGGATAGATTCCCAGAGGAAGTGAAGTTCCCCTAGAGCCATCAAAGACCAAGTGGGAGTACAAAGAAAGTCCCTATGTGGGCTAAGAAAATTGCCTTTGTGAAGACCAGACACAGGAATCCTACTTGCAGTAAATGTTTTAAATACTCCCTTCAATTATCATTGTGATTCAAATGCAGGATCTCCAGTTAACTAAAAGGTACTTTACTCAAATAAGTCACTAGAAAATACACTCTAAGTCATCCAAATGCATTTTTTTTCCAAAGCCTATTTTTGTAAGCTATGGCTCACTGGTGTAATTACCCATACGACAAGAATATGATAATATTTTTACTTCTTGCAGTGAACAGAAAAATGTTCCCAAAAAACACTGTGGACAGGTAGGTATTTGGCACAGGAGATAAGACGCTGCTTGGGATGCCTGCATTACATAAAAAATGCCTGGGTTTAAGTCCAAGCTCCTCTCCTGATTCCAGCTTGCTGCTAATGCACACATTGGGAGGCAGAAAGTAGTAGAGTCCCTACCACCCATATGGGAAACCAGGATTGAATTCCTGGTTCCTGATTTAGGCCTGGTACAGCCTTAACAGTTGCTGGTATTTGGGGAGTGAACCTTTGGATAGGAGATTTTGCTCTTTCTTTTTGCCTTTCAAATAAGCACAAATAAAAGAGCACTGTGAACTGGTCACAAGTGGGTGTCCCTTAGCTGAGGACACAGAGAGTGATCAGAATCGATGCATCGGATGAATGAGGCAGAAGGGGTACCAGGATGTTAGTCAACCCCTAGTCTCAAGCTCCAGATGAACTTTACCTTGGTTTTTCTGTTTTGGGAGTGGCATCAGAAGTCTTCTTTTACTGTCAACTGTAACAGTGCAAAAAGCCAGATTCTCACTGTATGAGGGCCTCTGCACAGAAAAGAAAACCTAGAACTGTTTTTGAGAGACAGAGTGGGCTTCATTTTCTTATTATCACGGCTGGGAAAGGTGGAAGAGGCCAGCTGGGAATCTCTGCACCTGAGATAGCCCAAAGGCAAGTTCCTGAATTTATGGGAACCCAGTGTAGGCTCTGAACTGCTGATAAGTTAGGGTAAGACAGCAATTATAAGGTAAGTAAGAGTCAGATGAGCTCAACCTCGCTCTCATTCTCTCTCCTGGGACCAGGAGGGGCAGGAGAGCAAGCAGGCCCTAGTAATTCCTTCTCCTCTCCAGCCTACCAGGGCACACTTCCCCTTGGCAAGGAGCCTGACCAGCTAGCAAGCATGCTCTTTCTCCCCGTCGGTGCTCCTCCGACCTGAACTACATTCGGGAACTTTACTTCTGGAGGTGAACCTTGGCTGCACTTTGCTCCACGCTGATTTCACTTCATCATTCAGACAAGTCAGGCAGCTTGGCCTACAACGTGACATCAAAAACACTTCTGGTCTGCACACAGTTCTTGTTCCAGAATCGACCCTCAACAAGAAAGCCTGTATGCTAGGCTAAGAGAACCTGAAAGGAAAAACTCACAAAGTGCCCGACACTGCTTTCAACCAGGAAGTTCAGAGGAGAGAGGACAGCAGAGACGGCAAATCTAAACGCTCACAATTATGTGAGGCAAGAAGAGGGTGGTCTTCAAAGGCTCCGCCCTCCTTAAAGAGGTTGCAGATTCCACTCGGTTTAGGTAAACTTTGCTGACCCCGGGAGGCGCTGGGACACCTCTACCCTCAAGGTACTTCTGTTGCCCACTGAGGACGGCCCTAGACCCAATCGCAGTCCGAGCCTCGCCATGACGCACCTGGCCTCGCCGGGGTCCGCTCCCCACGTGCAGGGGCAGGGTGAGCATCCCTGGCCCGGTGACCACCCAGCCTGCCCTGGTGGAAGGGGGCTGGGAGCCAAGGCATCTCGGGGCTGCAGCCTCAAGCTGGGCTCCTCTCGGCTCTCCCCCTATTTCCAGCACAACGTCTCGCATCAGGGACACTGTTCCGTCACCTCTACCCTGAAGTCCTGCGCACCCACAAGTCTCTTCAAAGCAACTGAAGAGAGCGCCCACAGGCCTCCGGCGGCTCAGGTGAGTGCCGGGAGGTGTAGCAGGAAGGGGCCCGCTCTCCGCCACCCCCTTTCCTCTCCTCCCCACGCTGCAACGGGGATGTGTGGATCGGGGTGCGCGGGGTAAAAGGGAGCTTAAAATGCCCCAAGCGTCCCTTACCTTCCACAGCCATTCTCTCAGAGCTGCCCTAACGCATGCATAATTTTCTCGGCCGAGGTACTCCTCCTGCCCCGCGCTCCCCCCGCCTCTCGCTTTCGCCTAAATATTCTGCGCTCATCTGCTCCAGGACCAACCTGCCGCGGTCACGCAAAGCGAGCAGCCGGCTCCCGGCTCGGCGCGGGGCGCCATGGGAAGTGTAGTTTCCGTGCTCCGAGGAGGCTCGGGAAGGCGCCCCGAGTCCCCCGCGGTACTCGGCCCCATCGTCTCAACGCGGGGCAACAGCTCCGGCTTGGGCTAGACCACACCGAGCCATCTCTCCTGGGGGGCCTTGTGAAGAGGCTTCGGGGACGCGGGAAGTGGCGGGGACTACATCTCCCAACATGCCGCGCGCCGGGTTTCGCTCGGCGCTCAGAATACAGATCCGTGATTGAGACCTTCGCTGTCAGCTGGAAAGGGGTTAGGCACCTGGCCGCGGTGAGGGGAAAAGAGGGAGCGCTCTTGGAATGTCCACTTCCTAGCCGGTCCGGGGGCCTCAGTCACCTGCTACGCCCCCTGGTCCCCGGGCCGTCCTTTGAATGAGGAACTGAGAGCCCCTGGCCGCCTCTTGTTCTTCACCTGTGGCAGAGACCTGCCTTACAGGGTGCGGCGAAACTTGGTCCTCGGAGCCTGGGCTGTGTGGGGTTGGTGGGGGATCCCGCCTGGCGATGCCCCTTCCTTCAGGTCTTGAGGGGCGGTTTCAGCAGCTAAATACATAGCAAAGGAGTCTGGGGGCGGGGGGATGGGGTGGATATGACTTAAAAATCTCCAACAAGCAACATCACCAAAGGGTTATTCGAAGCGAACTCCAAACCAGGATTCCACCGGGCGTCGTCAGCTGATGGAAGCCAGTCTGGTTTCCCGGTAGGAGGCTTTGGGCTTGCCTGGCCTGTGGTAGGGCCTAGTAACAGTCACCAAAAATGAGTGTTCTTTCAAGTTTTGAGCCTATGCCCTAATTCCAGGTGCTTCGGGTGCTATAAACAGGAGGATCACTTGCAGGGCTATAGAATTCCCGAATTGATAATATTGATAAAATCAAGTTTCCAAATCCCCCCCCCCCCATCTGTATGTAGAAATACAAACACTGTTATAGAGAGCAGGGAAAGGTATGGCCTTAGAAAAGAATAAGGCTCGAGGCCGGCGCCGTGGCTCACTTGGTTAATCCTCCACCTGCAGCGCCTGCATCCCATATGGGTGCCGGATTCTGTCCCGGTTGCCCCTCTTCCAGTCCAGCTCTCTGCTGTGGCCCGGGAGTGCAGTGGAGGATGGCCCAAGTGCTTGGGCCCTGCACCCGCATGGGAGACCAGGAAAAGCACCTGGCTCCTGCCTTCGGATCGGCGTACTTAGTTCTTCCATTAGGCAATATGACTGTATAGAGGTACTCTTAAAAGTGCCTGTGTGTAGCCATTAAGTGCCTTGGTGATATTTTAGCTCTTGAGTTCAGGAAGTTGTGTACAAATCAAACCTAAGGTTTCCCATCTAGGTACAGAGAGAGAGAGAGAGAGAGAGAGAGAGAGAGATTGAGATTGATTGATTTACAGTGAGGCAAAATACACGGGAAGAACTTTTCCAACCCAATATGCCAAGCATCCCAATATCTGGAGAGAACTAAGATGCAATTGCTTCCTTTCCCCTTGTGTATGCAAAATCATCAAAGTGTGAAGTCTTTCCTTAGAATGAATCAATGGAAAAGAAAGCCACACAGCAGGCAATATTCATGTTTCTCAACCTTGTCTGTGCACCAGCCTTTTTCAAATACATACTCTTACATACTGCATTAGTCTCAAAAAATCTGATTTGTGGGGAGTTTGGTGGGGGCATTTAAGTTTTAAAAATCTGCAGAAGCTTGTAATCAGCAGTGGTGAAATTGTTGGTCTGTTTTCAAGCATTTAAGATTGGAGTGATATGAAAATGCAAAAGTCACTGAAATCCATTGTTCACTCAAAAACTTCATTCCAGGTCAAGTCTTTGATATGCTTCCTATTGATGTGCATTCCAGTTGACTTGCATTTTTAGTATAAATATAAATAAGACATGAAGGAAATATTAGCCTGAACTATATGAAATAGTATTTGACTGTTTTTAAACCTATAAATAAAGCAGTTTCACTTGGGTTTCCCTAATAAAAAGACGAGCAGCAGAGGTTTTTCAATTCTGGCTGACTGTGAGAATCATCTGGGAGTCTTTGGAGGAAAAAACATTGCGAGGATGCCAACTTTTGGCAAGGTTGTGAAGCAGTAAGAGCTCACATGTTGCTGGTTGTGTACGGACTGATACAACCATTCTGGAAACCCATTTGACATTTTAACCTAAAATGAGGCCTATCTTGTGACCCAGAAATTCTACCTTTATGTGTGTATCAAATAGATATGCATATATGTATTGTGAAAATACGTGCATAATAATATTCATGGCTACATTGTTTTAATAGCTTCAAACTGGAAACTACTCAAATGTTTATCACTAATAGATTTATTAACATGGATTGTGATATAACCAAAGACTCCTATATAGGAGAGATAACAAACTGGCCAATGCGTTGAAATGACCCACCGTTTATTTTGTATGGCTTACAAACTAAGTATTTCTTTTGCATTTTTAAATGGTTGGGGGAAGAACAAAAGAAGCATGATATTTTGTGATGTGTGAAAATTACATAAAAGTATTTATTTAATACCATCAATTCTGCCTTTTGTCCTGCAAAGCCTAAAGTATTTCCACAAGAACCTTTGCAGGAAAATTTGATAAACCCTGCTGTGAAATAATGGGAATGAATTTCAACTGTATTTAATGACATGGATGAACTACATCTTATCAAGGAAGGTAGAGTATTCAAAGTACTTGGTCCTATTAGATGTTCAGATCTCCTTTGCCACATCTTCAGATTCATCATTCACATCAGGTATATATCATAGTTTGTTTGCCTTGTTTTAATGTACAGCATTCATTCAACAAAACAACTATTAGGCAGTCACCATGGGTCCATTACTCTTCTTGGGCTTGGGCTTTCAGAGGTAGCTTCTTGAGAATATCAGAGATGGTACCCAGGATGAGTGAAAGGAAGAAAAAGGAAGGGGAGATGAGGAGGAATAAATAAATAAATTCACTGTTCAATAATACATTATAAAGGCTAGGATCAATGTAAAGATTACTTTTATGTGTCAATTTGATTGGGTCACAGGGTGTCCAAATATTTGGCCACTCTGTATATTTTGGGAGGATGTTTCTGGTTTAAATTAACATTGAATTGGTATACTAGAACTATTTAATTGCTCTACTTGTTCTCAGGTCTTCAGAGTCACACTGTAACTAAATTCAGATATGATGTGTTCTCCTGGGACTGCATGCTGAGTTACCTTGCAGATCTTGAGCTTTGCCAGCCCCCAACAAGTTATGAGCCAGTCCCTTAGATAGATAGATTTTATTTTTTAAGAAAAATTGTATTTAATAAATATAAATTTCAAAAGTACAACTTTTGGATTTTAAAGCATACCCAGGATCTTGGATTCAGGTAGATCACCAGGGAAAGAAGAAAGAAAAGCATCAAAGAGGACGTCCCAGAGATCAGATGTTTGAGCCCAGTACCTGGAAATGCACTGAACTTGGTTTGACAAAGGAAGGGGAAGCATTTACAGTGTGTGCAAGGGCTGGGAGGGGCAAAAGATCATGAGAGGGTGGAGGTCAAAGTCAGGATGCACACCTAAAGGTGCTGACGAATGTCCCCATAGCACAAATGCCCCTGTGTTGCAGTGACAGAGTGTTGATCTCCCACTTAAAGTAAAGGGGAATCAATAAAGGATAATAAATGGGTGACAGTATTCAAAGTTGCCCAGCTAAGGTCTTCAGGGGCAATGGCACAGAGGCCGACATTGCTGTCTGTTATTTGTAGATTTTTATAGTCTTTTTACATATTTATATATTTATAATTTTATATTCTTCATTTGTAGTAGAATGTAAAATTTTAGCTAACAATTTATTATTAATATAATAATAGCAATAACTATCTAGGGACTGATTTCATGTACACATGAATGTGAGCATTGCACACACTTCTTTTTTCATTCACAACAGCTCCTGAGCTGAGTATCAGTAACTTTATTGTACACATTAGGAAACTCATGCACAGAGGAGGTAATAATTTGTCCACGTGTATCCAGTAAAGCAGTCGGCTGATTTCTTTCTGGATATTCATTGTCCTCTTCCTTATTCACATAATTTTTATTTCATTTAAGATGATGATGTTCTAGTTAAAATATTATAGCCTTATTTGTGTGACTAAGTTTTGGCTGAGTGGAACTAGTAAAAACTTTGGTTAAGACTTCTAAGAAAAAAAAATTAAAGGATAAATGACAGCCACAGTGGCTCATTTCTACACTCTTCACCTCCTACCAGTTGCCTGCCTTGAACACAGTGCAGTGTTAGTGGTTGGAGACCCAGTAGCCATGCTGAACTATTTGTTGACCTTTATGATTGGTGACATGAGCTAAAACCATAGCAAAAAGAGAGAAAAAGCCACGGTACTTGATACCAACCAACCAACCAATCACATTTTGGATACCTCTAGAATTCTTTTATATAAGGGAAATACAGTTGTATATTATTTAAATCAAGTTTGTTCTCTGACATCAGTAGCCAAGTACAGTTCCTAACTGTTATACTCAATTCTAGTAAGGGGCAAAGTCCAGATCCAACCTATGCCTCCCAGAAACCAAATTCTATATGCATTATTTTTATTATTTATTATTTTTAAATGTTTATTTTGTTTATTTGAAAGGGGGAGGGGGGAGGGAAATATCAGTGCTCTGATATGTGATACTGACTTCCTGGGTGGCAGCTTAACTAATGTGTTGCATCACAACACTGGCCCCTGTGTTCATTTTTGTGCTGTTATTTGTGGATTTTCTTTAATATATGAGTATTTTGAGCACTTTGTGACTGAGTCTTATATTTACTTCATCATTGTTTCATAACATTTGTTTATATAGTAAGTACATATTATTACTATTGTCACCACTAATCTTATCATTGATTCCAAATATTGTAATATTTGGAATAGATTTCAAAATCTGTAGCAAGCACTCTCATATTACATTATTTTCTTTAACCCCTGTGGTATTATCAGATATCATCAGGCTCAGTGAGGTAAAGTAATTAGCTCAGTGTTTCAAGAGGTGAAATAGTAGGAAGGGGATTCAAGTCCATCTGCATTCAGAACTTCATAGCAATACTCCAATTGGATTTCAGTACTAATTATATGATCACAGATGTGATTTCATGAGCATT